GTTCAAGGTGTGTTTGAAAAAAGCACAATCCAGGTTGTTGTTATTGAGGAAATAAATTTTTTCCATGTTTTTTCAGCCCCTTCCTCCTCTCTTTAAAGGGCTGCTGCTCTCTCCCACACAGTCAGCTGTGTGATTACACACGGTGCTTGTAATGGTGCTAATGCTTGAGGTGTGAAGACACAGACATTTAGCCAATCACTGGCAACTGCTTTGTGCACACAAACCTCCCCCTATGCTGTCCTGGTACTTGATTTTAATACGACCTTTTGAGGGGTGCTGAAATTTAGTTCCCAGAATGCACCTCAGAAGTGGGTCAGGTGTAGTGGAAACAAATGCGGAACCTGTGACAAGCGTTACTCAGCATGGCATGTTTTGGTAGTGTTCTACAAAATCCCTACAGAGGAACAAAATGTATTATCAATAAAATACAATGACTCTGATCATGGTCCTGTTGGGAATAATTATATTGTTTGGTGCAAATCATCCTTTTTAAATATCAATGTGGCAAAAACAAAAGATGTGTTCTTATGCTAATGATGCCGTTGAAACGGTGAAGCAGTACAAATATCTTGGTACTATAATCAACATCAAACTGTGCTTTGAACCCCAGGTTGATGCTGTGTGCAAAAAAGCACATCAGCGTATGCTTTTTTATTTTAAGCTTAGCAGCTTTAATGTCTTCACCACTATTAATGATGTCATCTACAGGGTATTGTAGAGATGTGCAACAAAACAGCTGGTACATCCTTAAATGTCCTTCATGACCTGTATAAGGTCTGGGACCAGATACATAAACAATACATACACACAGAAACCATGCGTATGCCTTTTCCCATGCATAACCATTCATGCATAGACAGTACATAACACTCTATGTAGATTCATGACTAAAACAGTGTGTACACACCAAGAGAGAAGTGAGCATACAGATTGTGTCCGTAAGATTTATAAAGACATACTGTAGGTACACCAAGTTCTGTTTTATAAATCTCAATTGCCATGGAATTGGGTGCGCATGCAGAGCTTCTTTTCCACTCCCACATTTAACCATAAATAGATGCATGCATGCCCTTAAGCAACCATTTACATAGAAAGACACTGTTTTATCATCACGTTATTAGATTTGGCAATGAAAGCAACTCTAAAGAAGAACTGCAGTTTCACTGACTGTATTACTGAGACTGATTGGAGAGGTGCAGAAAAGAAAATATGATTGGTTTGGTGGTCTCAATTCTTGGATTACGAACAGAAAAAAAGCTGCTTACTGGCAGGCTATCAGTACTGTCAGTTCAGAGCAGAGGGCTGTGCCTGGTGGGGGGTTGGATTATACAGTAAGCAAGAGCCAGAAAAGTGCATTGGTGTGCACACTGACTACAACTCCGCCTTCAACACAGTTGTCCCCCACAAACTCACCCACAAACTGTCCACACTAGGTCTGCACCCCACCCTCTGTGACTGGCTCCTGGACTTTCTGAGTGAAAGACTATCAGGATTGGCAATAGGACTTCAGCCAGCATTATTACGAACATTGGCACCCCACAGGGATGTGTCCTCAGTCCCATCCTCTACACCCTGTTCACCCACAACTGTGTCGCCTCCCACAAAGACAACATTATCCTAAAGTTTGTGGACGACACTGCAGTGATAGGTCGCATCACTGGTGGGGACGAAGCAGCCTACAGGAGGGAGGGGGCCGCTCTGGGGT